ACATCGTAGCACGGTGTGCCACCCCCGCGCATATCATCAAGCTTGTGCTTCCGATCAGGTCTCTTCTGATCGAGAAGCTCAATGCAAGGATGGTTCAAAAGATCGACGAGCTTTTGCGACGCATCGGACTCGGTGTTCTTCAGAACCCCACGGTGAACAACAGGGATATCTTGGTATTCTGTTATGAGCTTATCCAGGAGGCATACGCTGCATCCACGACCACCGAAAAGAAGGCCAAGATCGACCCCAAGAACAAGCGGTATCTGATCAACAACCGGGGAGCAGCCAAGTCTGGCGCAAGACTTAGCACCAACTCTTACCTGTTTAAGATGATTCGCTTCGGTATGGATATTCTTCGGACTGTGCTCCGCAAGCATGAAGACCTCCAAACTCCCCAGAATCTGGCTGGCTTCCTTCCGATCATTGGCGACGCCATGGTACAAGGACAAGAAGAGGTGCAAGTCTCGGCTGTTCGCCTTCTCACAACCATCATCAAGGTGCCGATGACGGAGTTGGACACCAACTGCCCCGTGTACATCGACGAAGCGATGCGCGCCATCAAGGGCGCACTGTCGTCCAACACGGAGCTTGCGCAAGCCTCATTGAAGCTAGTCTCAGCGGTCCTGCGCGAGCGACCAAACGTGCCGATCAAGGAAAGAGACGTTGGTCACCTTCTCAAGCGCATGATTCCCGATCTGGACGAGCCAGATCGATCAGGTGTCACTTTCGGTTTCCTCAAGGCTGTCATGAACCGTCACATTGATGTACCTGAGATGTACGAAGCCATGGACAAGGTGGCCGAGATGATGATCACCAATCAGACAAAATCCGCGCGCGACATCGCCCGTTCGCACTACTTCCAATTCTTGACGTCGTACACGCAGAGCGAGAAGCGCTTCAAAAAGCAGATCGAGTTCCTCCTCAAGAATCTCCGCTACGAGCATGTGGAAGGAAGGCAGTCAGTCATGGAGGCGCTCGATCTCATCATCGGAAAGGCGCTGCCTCGCTTCCCCGAGAAGACACAGTACGAGTACCACGGCATCATGTTCCTCCCGCTGATCAACACTGTGGCAAACGACGACTCACCCAAATGCCGAGAAATGGCTAGCTTGCTCATCAAGAGGCTGTTCCAACACGCGAGCGACAAGCGGTTGCAAAGTTTCGCGTCTGACCTTAAGAGTTGGCTGGAGCAAGACGACAACGTTGGTCTTAAGCGTCTGGGCATTCAGTGCTTTGGGTTCTACTTCGAAGCAATGGAGGAGGTTGAAGAGCCAAAGGAGGTAGCATACGTTCTTGATCGGCTCGACGCAACGATTGATGAGTGTTTGACACGACGCGATGAAGACGACTGGGAGTTGTTGTACTACTCTCTCACTCTACTCTCCAAGATCTGCAAGAAGTACACCGACACCATGTTTGCATCGAACAAGGATAGCCTATGGACCGCAGTACAAGCCAGCGCAACTTACCCGCACTTATGGGTCAAGCTCAAGGCTGCGGAGCTGTTGGGTACATACTTTGCCCATCTGGGTGTCTCGAACAAGGACACTGGTCTTGGTGCTCTACCTCTGGAGGGGTCAGGTGGTCTGCAACTAACAGAGCAGAGCATGACGCAGCTCTGCAATGCCTTCCTGAGGAATCTGCTCAACCCCGAGGTCTCAGAACAGCTCTGCATGCAGAGCGTAAAGAATATCGCTTTCCTCGCGCGCTGCCTCGCTGTCAACGGCGCTAAATGGCATTGGCAGAAGACCGACGACGAAGAAGAAGCAGGAGAAACAGCAGTCCCAACAAACGGCGCCGCATCAGCTGTAGATGACGAAGACGACTTCAGTGGCTTCTCCCCTCCCCCCGAAACAAAGAAGCCCGAGAAAACAGAAGACACCCCACCAACAGCAATCCACCGCCTCATGATCCGCCTCTCCGGCATCGTCCGCAAAGACAAGAGCACCATGAACGCCAAAACAACCATAATGTCCCTCTTCGACACCATCGCAGCGAAATTCCCTCTAGAACCGCTTTCAACATCCCTCCCCCACCTCCTCACCACGCTCTCCACCCTAACCTCCACGGACGCCACCTTCCCCAAAGCCAGCGCCGCCCTCACTCCCACTTCCAACAACAACCCGCCTGTAGACCCATACAAAGCGCTATCGGATAAGGCGCGCGAGGTCATGAATACGCTGCAGAAGCGGTTGGGTACGCAGGAGTACCTCAATGTTATGGCGGAGGTGCAGCGTGGCGTTCGGGAGCGGAGAGAAGAGAGGAGGCGCAAGAGGAAGGTAGACGCTGTGTTGGATCCTGAGAAGGTGATGAAGGAGAAGAGGAGGAGGCATGATGTTAAGAGGGTTAATAAGAAGGCGAGGAGTGCTGGGGAGAAGGGGAGGAGGCAGGGGTGGTAGATGCTGTGTTAGGTGCTGTGATGGGGCGGGTGTGGTGTTTTATGTGCATTTTCATGGCGTTTGGCATTGGAAAGGGTGTGGGAAAGAAAAGTTCAGCATAGCATGGCATGAGATGGGGAGAGTATGGTTAGGGAGCCGGTAAAATGACAAGAAGTGTATCTATGGATTCAAGGTCACAGCACTCTTTTTATACGTGCTGCGCACTTTAACAAACCAGCCTTGAATCTTAGCATTGCTTGCTAATAGAACTTTTCGCAAAGACGCATTCTGCGCTTTTAACAACTTAGCCATACATCCAAAGAACGCATTGTTTCCAAGAAATCTGCTCTGCCGATTTCGCGGTCAGGTTGTACCAGTACACTCTATCATAAAGCGGCACGAAGAGCGTACCGTTTTCGGACATGCGGGACACGTCGACTCGCTTCAGTAGGTCAAGCTGATGCTCCCCCAAGGTCGTTGATTATCCTCATCATCAACGACATACTAATATACTGCTCTACTTTGCCCTCCTCCTGATTGTATCGTAGTTCGGGGTTTTTTTCGGTTTGTTAGGAGCTTTGTCCAAATGACGGTGGCCTGGACCAGTAGCACCATTCAAGGTTGTGTGATGCGTAGATGTGAAGCCGAGACTGGTCGATGCGAAGGCGGTCGTTATGTCGCATACATCTGTCTGCCTGGCTGCTCGTACAGAGGACTTTCTGTGAGTATGCATTGGCGCACTGATGTTTGACCGGCTGGAACCGCTAGAGGATCCGCCTCGATCGTTGTTCTTGCAAGTGTCGACTCTGGCGCAATCCGATTTGGACGATGAACTGAGTGCAGGCTCAGACGACAAACCAAATCTTGAAGATCTTGGAATAGGCGACGATGAACCAAATCCTAATGTGGAAGATGAACCAAACTCTGACTTAGACGATGTGCCAAAGCCTGACGTAGACGATGAACCAAGCAACGTAGATGATGAACCAAAGCCTGACGTAGACGATGAACCAAAGCCTGACGTAGATGATGAGCCAAAGCGTGGCTTGGATGATGAACTAGATTCTGACTTGGATAGTGATACGGCGCCCGGCTTTCGTGGTGATCCCCAAGCCGAAACTCCACCGGTGCTAGAGACGGGCCTGCCATCGCTATCTGGCGGTGCTAACGAAATGGAAGGCCTCCTTTCCCCATGGTTAACTTTGGTCGCAGAGTGGCCTATGGTTGCTCCGAAAAGGCCGCCTTTGACGTAGTTACTGCCTACATCCGCATCAAACGTGTTCTTTCCAGGATCTCGAGCAACACTTGTGCTTGTACCGCCGAAGAGATTACTACCACTCTTAGTGGCGCTTTGACTTCGAAGACCAATGCTTGTCGCAGTATGGAGGCTCCAATCGAAACCTGGACCGATGAAGACATCAGGAGCATTCTGTCCAAACAGTCCATGGGTTCTCGTCGTACTGGGACCAGCATTCTGTCCAAACAGTCCATGGGTTCTCGTTGTACTAGGACCAGCGGCGGCACTCTTGTTGTTGTTGCCAAAGAAAGAATCGTTTCGGGCTCCCAAGGCTGCTTCGGGTTGACAGTTGCGAAGCGGAGATGTGTGATCAGTGTTCTTCGAGGGCGTCGGAGTGTCGATCCGCAGATGCAGTACAGGCGCATTGTGCTTCTCGGGTGTTATCGAATTGCCGAACATCTGGGAAATGCCAGGGTTCTTTTTAGACGAGCTGTTTGTAGAGACGGCCTCCGAGCAGTGCACAACAGGCGTAGGCAGGCACCAATTCGGAGGGTCGTGGAAGCCAGGCGGGCTTTTGGTGGGTAAACGTTTCGAGGCTTGCAAGATGGCGACTTGCAGCTTTGGCTTGAGAAGGCGTGAAGACCACGTGTGCATGTTCTTGACGATGGCACGCAGTGATACCACTCCCCATGTGAGTCGTATTGAAGTGGACCAGATACATCTCATGCGCTTCTTGAAGTTAGCTTCAGTAAATAAGTGTGGATGATTTTCTCTGACCTGCACGGGATGGCCGAATTCTGGTTTGTCGTTGTATGCAAGCCAAACCTTGACTACAGGTCCAACACATGTGAAAGCAACAACAGGGGGCGATTGCAATGGTAAGATATCGTTGATTTTCTTGAAGAGTTGTGCCTGTATCTCAAGGGCGGCGGCGGCAGCATTGGCTGCTTGACAATAACATCTTTCTATGGCGGCGTCGCGAGGCGATGCAACGTCCTTCTTTATTTCAACAACGGCCCAAGGAAAGCAAGATCGGTCAGAACTACTCCATCCGGATCCATCGGAATGGTTTGCTTTGTTCCTCAGGGCAGTTGTTGGTGCGCAAGTCACACCCTGCTCTACGAGTTTTCCGAGTGATTGAACAGAGAGTGTTTGGGTGAGCTCGTCTTTTGCAAAACCTTGAAGGCTTCCCGGTGGTGAGATCTGGATCGGAAATGCGTACGTCAAGTCTGGCTTAGGATGCGTCCGGGGTGGAAGCCATGGACAGCTTTTTGCAAAACTGTCGAATTCGTTCCATTGAACATTCTCGTAACTAAGACCAAAAGTCAATCTCTCACCATTACATATACCCACATTCTGTAACTTACAGCGACCATGCATCTGCACTAGAACTTTCTGGATGTCAGTACGCAATATTGAGAATAGCGCACAAGGTGCGCAAGGTCATAACGTTCGAAAAACTTACTCGAAACCGGAATCCAGAAGCCTGTCATCACTGAACAATCTGAAAATCTTAGTCCTCCAGAACAAAGTCCATTCGTCTTCCGAGTCATCCTGTATCCGGTCCGCAACTTCTACGACACTTTTGCAGAACTCAAGATTGTCGCGCAAAGGGGATTGCTGTCGCAAGCGTCCATGATGCTTGGCAGACTCGGGAGGATGAAGACACCACTCGGGGCCGATATCCGCACTCCCATATTGGGACAGCTCCTTTTGCAGGGTCGCATCCCAGCAGTCCTCCGGTATGATCTTCTGCATGCACAACAGTCCAGCACGCACTGCATCGACGTGGTCTGGCAGCGAGTCGGCCGTCGATTGTGGGTTGGCATCATTGCCTTGGTGAACTTTTGGATCGTAGTATATCGAATGACGTGTAAGATTGATCTTGCTGATGTCTTTCTCCATGATGAGATGAAAACGAATGAGTGGGGAAGGCAATATGCTCAATACACATGAGCGCGTTCGTCACCATATGTTCCTCTTCTACCCTTGGTCCAAGGAAGATTCCGATTGCCGCTTACATGCCAATTGCTGCGGCGCAGCAAAAGCTGCATCCTTCATATCGGCTAGGCTGGTGGCGAGTCAGAGTGGAAGCTACAAGGCGCGAAGGAAGGAAGGCGTCGCGTTGTCGTTCATGACGCCTCGCGTTTCGTTGAGTGGCATCGCGGCAAAGTGCGCACCGTGCGCGTCTACCCCACCATTACACAAGTGTTTCAAGGCAAGCCATCTGGCTCAGCGCAACGGATGAGGCAGGTGAAAACGAGTAAGCTCGCCCATTTTGGGGGCGGATTGTATCACGTCGACGCAGTGCTATACTCTTCGAGAAAATGGAGGTGCTGCTCATGTTTCCGCGGCGTGGCATGTGGTACGGGCCGAGGCGGGACGCCAATGGGGAACCAGAAACGCCTACCGGTACACGGGGTGGTCGTGGGGGTGGAGCGAGGAACTTTGATTGTGTACGTTGGGGGTTTGGATTCCCGTAATAGCGGTTTGTCAATTCCGTGTCAAGGAAAACGCGCATAGTCGGGGCTAATTCAGGAACGATGCCTGCAGCTATCATACATACCGGATGTGCTGTGTTGTCTAGTGTCTCGGTGACAAAGTGCGGCGAGGGAAGCGTGGCCGCACCGCAAAGAATGTGGCTACTAGCGGATCTCCGCGATTGTATGCTTTGCTGAATCTCATTGCTGCTGTCGCAGTCGCCAGAGATCTTCGTTACTGAGTTTGATGATCGAAAGGGTTTCTCTTTGGTCCGACCGCTGCTAGTACCCGACGTCAGATCCCTAGAAGGGACTACACGATCGCATACTCCCTGCCACCCTCTGCAGCGAAGTCTATCCAGGTCCTCGGCTTGCTGGTCGAGAGTTTCGAGAGTTCCAAACTGAATTCGAGGATTCGGGGACCGTATCCCGGCACGTAAGCGACATTGATTATCTCGTGGGGCTGCGTTCCTGGTATTGGTGCCAAGATGAAAGGAACCTCTGTCCCAAATAAACAGACCAGTATAGCGCCCTTGGGTACAAGTCCACAATCATGATGCCATGAGACGCCGAGGTGGCCTTCTTCTGTGACAAAAATATCACGGCCTCCTATGTATAGATCGTCGTCCCGAGAGTGGTTAGGTGTACCGGATAGATTAAGTGTGAAATCTAGGCGGAATCCATCTCTACTTCTGAGCAGAAGGCTGGCGAATCGCTCAAGCTCTTCGTCTTCTATATTTCTCCTTCGAAGTACTTGTAGCAGAGTACGTGGCGATATATCTCGAGGGCTTAATATGTTATGGTAAAAGTCGTACATCTCAGTGTTCTTTGTCTCGTCTCGAAAACTCGTGTCTTGGTATTTGTTTTCCTCGGACCATGAAGCGTTTTGTGTGTCACAAACAATACCAACATACCTACCATGTGCATAAAGCGTCTGGTAGTCCATCGATAGGCGTATCGAGCCTCGTCGCTCGTTTCGCTCTTCCATGTCCAACTTCGAGTTGGACACGTTATAAAAATGGCCGAACTTGGGAATCGAAGTGAAATCCAGTATCCAGGACGAATTCGTGAAATGTGTCCGATCAAACATTCCGGTAGGCTTTCTATCCTCAACAAGATATGGAAACGCACTCTCTTCCAGAATACAGACAACCGTAGCCTCGGCCAGCACACTTGGCAGAGATTTCGAGTAATCAACCGCTATTGCTTCGGCCATCTGGAAGTCGCATAGTCCCAAAAGTCCATAAACCTTATCGAGCAGGTTTGCGCACATCCCGTTTTGTGATGCGATCAGGCACCAGTACAAGCCTCTGTGGCTGCCAGACCGTAATCTAATATCTGCCAATGCCCAGACACGGACACTACCTTCCGCCCATCCCCTATAAAGCTGAACATCTTCCGGTCTTAAAAATTTGTAAGCGGAATTATATATATACAAGACTGATTTCGAGAAGTTTGACCAACGTGTGCTCAAGCTACCGATCAGCACGATCGGGTTCCTTCTCGCTAATGCCAGCTCTTGAATGACCCAAAGGCGACGAAACCATGGAAGCTCCATAATGTCCACAAAATGCTGCAATACATGGCGCAAAAATCGAGGTGGAATTAACCACTCCCTATTGTGTACAGTGTTCAACCACTGCGCTTGGCACTCGGATACGTGCGAACAAGCCGCATTATTCGGCCACTCGCCAAGCCATATTACGACTCTCTTCGCAGATCTATAGATCGCAGCCATGTGCTGAACCTGACGGGACCTCTCCTGTATGTCCCGCTGGTTAATGCACAGCGCGTCGATCCAAAGCATACGCCGTTTGTCGCAAACCCGAAGACGCCGCAGCCCCTGATCGAGGCTTTCCGTGATGGGCAGCTCGAACCCATCGACCAGTGCTTTGCAAGGGCTGATTGCTGTTCCCCAAGCATACGAGAAAGCTTCATATTCGAATTGGCAGTGTAAGGCAGGCTCGTACCAATGCTTGTTGTCTGATTTCTTCTGATCTGAATATTGCAGGTCGTATACGTTCGCGTATTGTTTCTCGAATGGTTCCTCGTCTGATTCCTCGTCAGGTTCCTTGTCTAGTCCCTCCTCATCTGTTACCCGCTGTTCCAGCTTGACGATGTGTAAGCACAGGCTGATCGGATCATCGTATCCACCTGGCAGCAATTCGACCAAGCGAATCTCTCCGGCATCTGAATCGATGGGCTGATATGGCGATCTTTCTGAACCGGTGGGAAGTGGTGCTTGGAGGGCTTCCATCGAGCCCCGCCAATGGTGCAACGCGGTTGCCTAGAGTGTTCGAAGATTCCGTGTCGCGATCGATCAAGCAGTATTGTAATATAACTTTAGTACAGATGATGCATGTGCGAGCAATTGGTAGAAGGATGTAGGTGCGGTGAAATGTTTGGTAAGAGAAGTGAGATGCGAGGAAGCGAAGCGGGGAAGGAGCGAGTTGATAGGTTTAGGCAGCCACACGAGGCTGATGACTAAGTCCAACCAACACGTATTTCCGGTGAACGAAGTAAAAGCCATACTCTTCAGAACAAATTCTGTCTAAATCGAGGCTTGTTTGCTGAAATTGAGTAAGCCTAACCCATATACCAATCCAATGATTCTCAAGCGGACAGCAAGAAACAACTTGTGTAATTGAATAAAGGTACAACCTGTACGCCCATAACCTATGATATATACATAACGAAATTCTTCGGGCACATTCAGCTTGTGCACCGTACGTCTCCCTCCTCTCCCCTCAGCTTCCAGCGCGTGATCACCAGCCACAACCCACAAAACCCCCTCACTGCAACAGCGAAAAGCCAGTACCCTCGCCCGCAGCCTCCATCAGCGCACGAGTGAACTTGGTACGCTCGCTAGTCTGCATAACAGTCGGGCGGCGAGTCCAGCCGATCTCAGTAGGCATGCGCTCGTTTCCTGCATCGAATGCGTTAGCCACTACTCTCCACTAATCCTCTCGAAAGATAAAGGTTGGAACTTACGCAGCCAGTACTCAATAAAGTCCTTCCTAACAGTACTCGTAGTACCATCCGCCATAATCTCAAAGAAGGAAGCACATTCACCCCAACTAAACCCATCAGCCAACAACGAAGCCTTGTGCTCCGGGTTAGTTTTCTTAGACGTCTCAAGGCGTGCCATGCGGGCGTCAGCGAGCTGCTGAACGGTAATCTCTGGTGTGGTGAAGAAAGAGGCTGTTTCCGCCCAGACGGTTTCGTTGAAGGGGAGGGGGTTGGCGAAGAAGCGATCGGAGCGACTCAGACTGAAGTCGTGCTCCAATACACCCTCACGGCCCAAAGTATCGAGGTCGAATGTACGGGCGAATGGCTCTGGGTTCGTGCGCACGGCCTGCGAGAAGAGGATGATGGCGTCGCTTTTGGCGATGTTGAAGCCTTCGAGCATGGCGTCGGCGAGGATGTCGCGGGTGATTCTTCGTCCGTCGTGTGGCAGGTAGCCGTGGTTGGCGAGGGTGTTCATGCCGGGGCATGGGCCGCGTGCTGTTGAGTCACTGGTTAGTTGGATAGTTTTATCACGACTAGATATCTTCACTAACCATCAGTGGGACCTGGAGCCGTCCAGTTCCTGGGCACCCAGGCCTGGCGGGCGACATAGGTTGGGAAAGCCGAAGCTGACGCGAAGATGGCGAGGAAGCTGATAGTTGATGAGACCCTCATGGTAGTTCTAAATGAGAGAATGGGGAGAGTGATGATGGGAATGGATATCAGAAATGATAGTTAACGAATGAATGTTGAAGTTTGACTGCAAATGAGTGATTGCCTTGAAGTGATCTCTGCTGGTACCTATCTGACTGTTTGAGCATGAATACATTTTATATATCTGCTTGCCGGGAGTGACAGCTACACATCGTTGTCAGGCGTGAAACTCGTCAATGGCATCGCCAGCCCTCGGCCCCAACATCTAAAGGACGTTGCACCACGCCATTTGGGAAGCCTCGGCTCGCAAAGTCGACGAAGAGATGCGATACGTGAACTTTTTGACGGTTTTCTGGGATGTGCTTGATGGATTCGCGGTGGGGAGAGGTAAAAGAAACACTCGAGGACTTGGCGGTTCGGAATAAACAACCGACAAGCCACAACTCATTTCGCGTCCGTTACAACGATCTCGGCGTACGTAGGGAAGTGGGTCGCATCCTATCATATCGCGATGCGCCGGTAACGTTCCTCGGTTCGAAAGGACAGACCCATAAGTATTGGGATGGAAAGCGACGTATGGGATTCTTCCTAGTCGGCTATCTTCTAGGGAGATTGGACATGGCGGTGCGCAGCGTCCGGAACTCTCACTACCATACAACAAAAGCCTTGGAAGTGATAAGAGATACCGGGTTCGGCAAGCTAAATTGAGTTAATTGCAACACAAGCTTTGTAAAAGGCGATCCAGTTTGCAAATCGCTGCGATAG